GTGTTTTGATGTACCGAAGGTAGTTCGGAGTCCCGGATATGATGACGGACATGACGAGGAGTCTCGAAATGGTCGAGACATAAATATCGATATATTGGATGACTATGTTTGGACATCGGAAAGGTTTTGAGAGAGTTCGGGCATATACCGGAGTACCGGGGGGTTACCGGAACCCCCCGGGGAGTATATGGGCCCTAATGGGCTTTAGTGGAGAGAGAGGGGCAGCCAGGGCAGGCCGCTCGCCCCCTCCCCCTCTGGTCTGAATTGGACTAGGAAGGGAGCGGCGCCCCCTTTCCTTCGTCCCTCTCTCCCCCTTCCTTCTCTCCTAGTCCAACTAGGGAAGGGGGGAATCCTACTGCCGGTGGGAGTAGGACTCCTCTAGGGCGTGCCATAGAGGGTCGGCCCTCCCCCTCCTCCACTCCTTTATATACGGGGGAGGAGGGCACCCCATAGACACACAAGTTGATCATTGATCTCTTAGTCGTGTGCGGTGCCCCCCTCCACCATGTCATATCGTTGTAGTGCTTAGGCGAAGTCCTGCGCCGGTAGCTTCATCATCACCGTCATCACGCCATCGTGCTGATGAAGCTCTCCCTCGACACTCAGCTAGATCGAGAGTTCGTGGGACGTCACCGAGCCGAACGTGTGCAGATTGCGGAGGTGCCGTACTTTCAGTACTAGGATCGGTCGGATCGTGAAGACGTACGACTACATCAACCACATTGTCATAACGCTTCTGCTTATGGTCTACAAGGGTACGTGGACTACACTCTCCCCGCTCGTTGCTATGCATCTCCGAGGTAGATCTTGCGTGATTGTAGGAATTTTTTTGAAATATTGTGTTCCCCAACAGTGGCATCCGAGCTAGGTTTATGCGTAGATGTTATATGCACGAGTAGAACACAAGTGAGTTGTGGGCGATAATAGTCATACTGCTTACCTACATGTCATACTTTGATTTGGCGGTATTATTGGATGAAGCGGTCTGGACCGACATTACGCGTACGCTTACGCGAGACTGGTTCTACCGACGTGCTTCGCACACAGGTGGCTGGTGGGTGTCAGTTTCTCCAACTTTAGTTGAATCGAGTGTGGCTACGCCCGGTTCTTGTTGAAGGTTAAAACAACACATACTTGACGAAAAATCGTTGTGGTTTTGATGCGTAGGTAAGAACAGTTCTTGCTCAGCCCGTAGCAGCCACGTAAAACTTGCAACAACAAAGTAGAGGACGTCTAACTTGTTTTTGTAGGGCATTTGTGATGTGATATGGTCAAGACATGATTTCTCCCGTGACCTCAAGAACAAAAATAACTACTCACAAATAATAAACATGCTCATGATCAGAGGAGTATTAAATAGCATCATGGATCTGGACATATAATCTTCCACCAAATAAACCATATAGTAATCAACTACAAGACGTAATCAACACTACTAGTCACCCACAAGTACCAATCTATAGTTCCGGTAACAAGATTGAACATAAGAGATGAACTAGAGTTTGAGAGGAGTTGGTGTTGTTGAAGATGTTGATGGAGATGCCCTCCCCAAGATGGGAGAGTTGTTGGTGATGATGGTGACGATGATTTCCCCCTCCGGGAGGGAAGTTCCCCCGGCAGAATCGCTCCACCGGAGGGTAAAAGTGCTCCTGCCCAAGTTCTACCTCGAGACAGCGGCGCTCCGTCCCGAAAGCCTTCTCCTTATTTTTTTTCTAGGTAAAAATGACTTCTATACCAGAAGATGGCCACCGGAGGTGGGCCGAGGAGGGCACAACCCACCAGGGCGCGCCTGGGCTCCCTGGCGCGCCCAGGTGGGTTGTGCCCACCTGGTGGGCCCCCTCTGGTAGTTATTTGCTTCAGTATTTCTTATATATTCCATGAAAAATCCCCGTGAAGTTTCAGTTTATTTGGAGTTGTGCAGAATAGGTAGCCTGACGTAGCTTTTTCAGGTCCAGATTTCCTACTGCCAGAATTCTCCCTCTTTGTGTGTACCTTGCAAATTATGAGAGAAAATGCATTAGAATTACTCCAAAAAGCATTATTATGGGTAAAAACATTATAAATAATAGTAAGAAAACATGATGCAAAATGGACGTATCATCCACGACCCCCACCAGGGCCCGTTCCAGCCCGCATTTCCCACGAAGCACGGAGGTCCTTGAAGTACAGAGCTGACGGTGGATGAACTCCATCACCGTGTTCCTTAAGGACATGGCCAAGATGCCCACATACTGCGCACCAGTCCGATAGTTTTTCATGGCGGACCCTATAAATCTGACGAGCGCCATCTCTCACTATTGTGACAGCATTCTTCAAGGGTTTCAGAACATTGATCCTAACCCACACACGGTAAAAATTACCTGCAAAATCTTGGGATAGCTTTTCTGAGAAGAGAACTTCGCCCACCCTACTAGCGAGAGCATCAACAAGGTGTGCATACTTGTCAGGAACATCATGTATCTGAATCCATATGTCAAGTGTGTCCGGCGAGACCAAGGAAGGCTGTGTTATGCCATCATACGGTGCAAGGATGACCGCATTCCCCCGGAAGTTCCAAGGGCTATCCTGCATGACACGTTCCCAGTCTCCTAGACAGAAAAACTGCATTGTATAGAGATTGTCCACCAAAGGGCGGAACTTGCAGTCCGAGGCCAGATCCCAAGCAGCACGCATATTCTTGTAGAACCAATATTGACTGTATGTTTTGTGATATGCACCCGCGCCACAACGATCCATCTGGTCGAATCTGGTGGCGCCTCTTTCTCGTCGTAGATCACGTCGCCCACGTCCTCTTCGCGGAGCCCAAGCTCCGCCATGATCCTCTCCATCTCAGCAGCGGGGGCAACTCCGGACGTATTTGCCGACGCTAAACTATTCTCTACCATACTCGAAACCCTAACCCGATTTTAGAGCCAACCGAGTATTGGAAAGAACCCTAATCCCTTCACCTACCTTTGGAGATCAACCAAGGCCGGGCAGTGATACAAGATCACCCCTTGGTCAGCCCGAGTCGTTCCAGAGGTGAGATTGGGGGAGGGGAGGAAAGGTCTCGACGGTGGCGAGGGAATCGCCTCTGGGCGGAGAAAAACCCTAACGTGAGGCTTTTTTCTAATCTTTTTTTTGAGACAAATCTTTTTTTTCTTATCAATTTAGTGAGTCTATGTGACTCGAAATTGGAAAAAAAAAATAGTGGGCCGCATTTCAGTGTTCTTCATAGCCTTACTCTGTTGTGTTGAAATGGGCCTATGGGCTGAATTGTGTACCTTAGCTGGAGCCCAATCTTAATAGGTCCACCAGAGAGGAGAGAGATACACATACATCGTCTGCCCTAACGCTGTCCCCTCCCCACCCACCTTCCGGCGGCGGCCACCGATCTCCTCCCCGGACTTGTCCCCTAAACCAGTTCCGCTCCAGATGCGACCTTCCAGATGATGAAGGAAGATCAAATTCATTCTGCAGTCGGATTCGAAGAAGGAAGGGAAAGGTGCCAATTTCGTTCTGTCTTCGTATTCCAAGAGGAAAGAGCTCAATTTCGGTTTGTAGTAGAAAAAGGAGCTGTTTTTGTATGTCTGCGTCGCGTGAGATAATAGTAAATCGGTCGGTTTACGGATTCCACACCGGCTAGAAGAGGATTCGGAAACCTCCCGTCTCCGTCTCCGTCTCCGTCTCTTCTTTTGGGATTGGGATCCGAGGAGACTATATAATAAGATCAGGCTGGGCGCCGGCGATTGTCGCACACAGAGGGGTCATCCGTTCAAGATTCTTTTTTGTTTGTGTTCTGTTTATCCTCGCAAGTTGGTCTCTTTTGTCATCGCATCAACATGAAGTTTAACAGGGGTCGCCGCCACCGACGGAACGTAAGTCGTTGCTTATGTTCTGTTATTATTGTTAATTACTCTATGTTTCATTCATTTTATGAAAGCCAATTTATCGATCTATCACCGATGACTAATCTTCCACCTCGCAAAATGCAGTCGAAGGCAGAAGTTGATAGTGGAGACATGCTAAGCAAGCTGCCTGGCGATATACAAGCTTGTAATGGGGACAGGCTAAGTGAGCTGCCTGCCGATGTGCTGCTCAACATTCTCGAGAGGGTGGGCACACTTGATGCTGTAAGAACCTGCATCCTTTCGAAGCAGATGCAGAAGCTGCCAGCTATGCTCTCGCAGATCGTCATTGATCTCAGCCCTCGTGATTTGTTTCAAAAAAGTGATGTCGTGGCTGATGTGACCAACAAGATTCTTAGTAGGAGGCCTCCACACATCACCATTCGCAAGCTGAAGCTCAAATTTGTCTTGAGTCCTCCTTGCTGTCTTTCCATCGGCAAATCCGTTGGCCTGGCCATGGCAACACATTAATTTGATGCAGCTGAGTTTGAGATCTTGACGCCGCTGGATTCCCATATTTGCACTGATGCCTATCGCCTGCTCTTTGCTGACCAGTTCAATAATTTTGTTCGTGATTATCCAGATGCATTTGCTGGTCTCACGTGTCTGCATCTACGGAACATGAGCTTTGGTGAATCAGACATACCCAACATTCTTCGCTATTGCAAGGTGCTGGAGTCACTGTCTTTCTTCATGTGTGGCGCGGGGATCAGTTCGGTGCTGCATGTGGAACATACTCGTCTCACCGAACTTGTTATCTCCTATTGTGAATTCAAAACAGTGGAGCTCAGCTGTCTACCAAAGCTCCAACAGGTGACATTTGGTAATTGGACCTGTGGTTGCTCAAAAAAAGTAATTGGCCCTGTGATGAAAGTCCATTGGTTCTTGGTTTTGTCCCGCAACTTTCGAAGCTAAGCCTTCCTAAAGCATGTCTTTCACGGAAGACCCTCAACCTAAGCCAGTTGCTCGCTAATGTCCCCACCATAAGCGATTTGTATCTGGAGTTTCGAAGCGAAAAGGTACACACTCCGACCATCTCTATCACTTTATCATTCTATATATGATGCTTATATGCAACGGTAGTAACTTATGCATCACTTGAGGATCTAAATTATGCACAACCTGTTGTTTTATCTGTCCCAGGTTTGGATTCAACCAGAATGCCCAAAAGTGCTTGCTCCGTTGTTCACCCAACTACGGTCTGTGAGTCTAGACAATCTTCCGGAAGAATGTGATATCTCTTGGACAATGTTCCTTCTTGAAGCTGCACCATCCATAGAGGACCTTTGCATCACAGTATGGGATCATAAGTGCCGGAAGGAGTCACAAAAGAGTCGCTCCAGGAAAATGGATGTGCATTGGGAGCCATCTGATCCTGATTTCAAGCACAAGAATCTGGCTAGGCTAACTATCTACGGCTTACAGTCTGATGACAATTTCATCGGATACGTTAGACGAGTCATTCATGCTGCGGCGAATATCAGGGAGGTATCCCTGCACGACAGGAAGGTGTGCCGATTGTGTTGTGAAAAGTTTCCTCATCTCGGTGTTCGTCCTTCAAGTTATCCACGGACCAGCGAGGAAGTGGATTTGTTGACGAAGAATATGACAGCGGCGACGGCAACGACTTCTCCTGATATTCACTTCTGCTCATAATAAAGTGGAGTTCAGCATGTCTTATGTGGTTGGAGTTCAGCATGTTTTATGTGCTTGGAAGGAGTCCCTTATCTCAGCGACCCCATTAGTAGCTACTGCGGCGGCGCTCTGCAGAAATGTATTTTGGCTATACCAATTTGTTGGAACGACTCGTTTAGTTATTTTCAACAATGAATCGGATACAATAAGCATGTGTATGTTGTGGTCGTGCAGTAACGTGCTTATGTTGAATACAGTCAATATTTAGTTCGAATGGTGCTCTGTTTTTTTTTCCTATCTTGTACGCTTTTTTATGAGAGCCATGTCAGTCGGCACTCGCTGTTTTTCCTGGACGCGCAAACACAAACTCGCTGCTCACTGCTCAGTTCCGGCGCGACGATGCACCCCTGAGCGCGTGCTGGCTGGTGGGGAGCTCCATTGGGGAGCGGCTCTGCAGCTTTGCTCAAGGTTTGCAACGATTGAGCAAATCGTCGACTATTTTTGCGCAAAAGCATGTTTTTCTTGTTTTTTGGCACTAAGACAAAGTTGAGTGATTGTTTATTTGGCCGGCTATAGATAGCATGAGTGTGTATTCTTGGTACTATGCTTTTGCTGTTAAAGAAAATGCCTGATCTGGATGCCATTCCCGCCGCCGCCTTCCTCGAGCTCGAGGTTGCGACTGCCGGTTGAGC